TTAAGGCTCATCAAGGTTCAAATCCTCGGTATTAAAAGACAAAAAGCCTTCCAAAAGTTTCTGAATCAACGTTTTACATTGAGAAATGATACAACTAATCACAATATTGCTATTTAACCTGGAAAGTCAAGGGCAACAGATAACTAGTTTCCCCGCGAAGGATTTGTTGGATTTGCAATACCAATATCCCAAAAACGGATGCAGCTTACTTCGATTTGGGCATAAAATATTCCGCCTTAAAGTATTTGCTTGAGACTCAACCGGTGCTTAGTCGTCCGGCTGGTAAAGAAGATGCGTCATTCAAAAATTCTTTGGCAAGTTAGCAAATCGCTTAAAGTCAATTTTAAAATAAACAACTATGAGTGCTGAATGTTTACACTTGTTTATTCACTAATAGTTATCTTACAGGGTTTAAATGTTGTGCTTACTTTTCCCAAAGCTACATTTGCTGGTATAAGAAAAAAGGCACCATAGCAGACTCCAACATCACCGATAGCAGCGTGCTTTAATCGATTCATTCTCATTTCGTTCTTCATTTTTCCGAAGCATCCACGGAGAGGAAGGGATGGGACCGTATTCGCGAATAATCTGCACAATTCGCTCTTGAATTGCTTCATTGGGGGATATCGGTACGCTGAGAGGCAGTGGAAAAGTTCTTTGGCTTTCTGGAACCTCTCCAGTAGATGGAACAGCCGGTGACGCAAAATGGTACAAACTTGACACACCGTCCATCGCAGTATCACAGCGTTGCAGCTCCACTGCCTCCTGTAAGGCTCGTTTTTTCGTCTTGTAGCGTCGATTCTGGAACCATATTTTCACCTAGTGATTTGGGTAATAATTAAAGGCACGCCTTTTACGATCTAACTAATGTATGAGCCATGATGACCCTTTTGACCCGCTTCCGCCCTCCTCTCTCCCTATTTTTTATGGGTGATGATGCACTCAACAGTTAAAAAGGTGCAGCTTGACAAGCGCCCAATTTGGCACTTCGTGACGCTCCAATTACTCTCACCCCTTCCCCTTGCATTTAATGACGTCGGCTGTGACTTACCTGAGTTTCAGAGAGCCCCAGGTCTCGTGACATCTCTGCGCGTTCTGCACTGCTGAGATACTTTTGCCGATCAAATCGCTCTTCCAGTACATGAACCTGACTGGAAGAGAAGGAAACACGAGCGCGTTTCCTGCGAGTGGCATCTGCAACCCCAGAAAGTGATGTAATAGAAGGTGTGGATGTGCGACGACGGCGCAATTCAAATGTGCGAAAATGCAAAGAGTTTGAAGGAGTGATTACTCCACCGTCGTCCTCGTCGTCACCTTCATCGCCATGATCCATGGAGGGCGGTACATTTGGATGAGAAAGATTATGTGGATGAGAGGAAAAATATTTGTACAGGCTGCTTCGACGGAATTCGAAAGGGTTTGAAGTGAATCTGTAAGGAGAAATTTGAAATGGCGGCAGCAGGGAAGTTGGGGGCGGAAACGCTGGTGGTTTCGGATGTAGTATTGGAACATCTGTCAACAAAGTGCACAAAAAAACCATAAAACCATAAATGTGTAGCAAATGGATTTAAATCCAATTTAAGTTACTTTACTAAGTCATGGGCGTTCCAAACTGTTAAACACTTTCGCATTTGTGGCATCATCACACAGAAACCTCATCAAAGTAAACACTCTAAACAACAAAGAGCAAACTAATCCGAGAAAATGACTGTATGATTGGCATTAAAAAATTGTTTTTAACAACAACTTTTGTAGAGCATGAAGTACTAATAAAACTCATAAATTTCCATGTAAGTGAATGCCATACAGTAGTTTTTGTCGAGCCCACCACAAAATGCAGTTTCTAAGTCAAAGAAGCTTAAGAGTAATTTGGTGAAATCTTCAAATAGCACATAAAATTTACCCTCCTAAAAAGTCTTTTAAATTATCCCTAGGTGCTGAGGGTTTACCACCTCAACACAATGCGCGAGACCTTCAAATTTTGCACTGCAGCAGGTGTAATGACTCTGACGATAGAATAGAGATAGTGCTGAAGTCACCTGACTGTGTGGGAGAGATAGTTATAGAAGCCGAAGAGGTGGTATTGGCAGAGAGGCCTTCATCCGACTCTGGGGTGAATTTGATTGGACTGCAAGCAGAATCCACAGACATCTTCCCTGTTGACAACTCTTCACTGAGTCTATTTCGATTCAGACTGCTGTTTAAAATGCTGTCTATCGCGAAGGATGTGCTGTGACCACTTGGCTTAAGGGCCATCTTGCTGCTTCACTTCTGCAGAACGGCTTTGTCGGCTTGTGCTTAAATAGCTCCGATCGCGCGAGGTAAGCGGCACTGTAATTGGTTAGAAGTGTCACTTTGCGAGTGAAAACGGACCAATGGAGTGCTACTCCCCTGTCATCAAGTGGTCTCCTGATAGGCTAAATTTACCTCTCCATTGACCAATCATTCCACCAGCTTCTACCCTCTTGTCAAGGTTTAAGGTAGTACAGTTCAGGAAATCTTCTGTGGGGAACCATACTTACAACTCGTAAACCAATTAAACAGGATGCGCATTTTCTGCCTTTTTACGAGAGAATAGGTCTGTGTTATAATCTGTTTAAACCATAATTCTTCGCTGTTTTAGAAAAAATATTTATGTAAATTGAATTAATGGGTAGGTTTTGTTGTTACGACTTTGTAGGTTTATTTGATATTGCAACTTGCTGCAATGGAAATAATAATTACTGCTACTTAAGACAATAGTGACAACCTTGGTTGAATGTTGGACGTTAGAGTACTTTCCTAATCTGTATCGAAAATGTTAATAAGCAAGCAGAAAATGCTAATGCAGTGACGTGCTCTCTTCTTGAATTACAGGAATTGACATAATTCAGCCGAATAAAGCGGGCAAGATGCTTAAATGAGGGTTTCTTGTTTGCATGATCCTCGAGGAAAACATAAATTTCGTAGGCCCTTAATGTCGATGATACTTTAACCTTTTAATAGCGAGTCTGTTAGGGAGATTTGAAAAAGCAAAGCACTTGAGTCGGTGGTAGTAATGCAATGTAAACTCCTTACTTGTAAACAGGGCTTAACTGCTAAGAATTTTGGAAATTTGCAAGGGCGAGAATGTAATTCGTGGTCCTTACGAGGAACATTCAATTTGCAGTACAAATGTGGTAGTTTTGGATAATTGTCATACTAGACCTTCATTCGTATAAGGGTGAAAACGCAACCCTAAACTTTCCCGTAAGAGGCATTTAGGAGCGTCTCGACTTCAGCATATTTAGTCTAGGAATTTAAGCAATGTAGGCAGAATTTCTTAAAGTGACGATGGCATGGTGCCTTCTTGTTTGTGTTGTTCACAATAACAAATATGTACCAAAGTTATATTTCCGCCTTAGGAGGATGGGTTCATTTGCGTGCTTAAACATTTATAAACCAATCACCGTATACAGCCTTACTGGTTTCAAATCTCTGATTTCTCAATTGTTCAAATCACAGGCGCTTAGCTCATGGGTAGCCTGCTGATTTGGTGCAGATTAATGCAAATCCTATTGAATTATAGTCCCTTTCAAAAACTGCAATAGGTTAGAAACAACAGGTGAAACACCCTCAACTTATCAGAGTCAATCAGTTTAAGCTCATAAAGGGTGATGTTTGATAAAAATATAGGAAATGCGATCGTTGGCAGTCCGTTGCTAAGCTTGTGCCTCGTTATTGAGTTGTCGAATCTTTTATCCGAGGATTTAATATAGGTTATCTTGGTTATAAGTAGTGTTTGGTGTTAGCAAAGTCACTCCTTCCTTCTAGGATCTTCAATAAAAACTAATTTAGATTTACGAGCCTCTAATATGCTTCTATGGTTGACATTTAACAGTAACATACCCCCAAAGGAGCCAGTCTCCTGCTGGGGAACTAATATTCTCCCCTTCCAAGTGAAAAACACAACACTAGCACCGAGAAACAAACAGGTACTATTTGAAAGGGAGATAATGAGGTGATGCAGCGGGCCGCATGCTAAAGTGTATGCGGATGTGTTCAACAGGAGTCAGTTAATGGTGTGCGTGTATCAACTGAAAATTGGTCGGGACCTGTATTGTAGCAGGTGCTGGCCTTTCTGAAATAGCTGACTTCGCACCCCCTCCTTTTTTCCCAAGAAGGTGTTTGGGTGGGATTTTTAGACCCTCACCCACCCTCTCTCTTTTCTCCCTTGCAGCAAATGGACACCCGTTAATCGGGTATGCAATTAGGGAGTGAGAGGCAGTATGTGCGCTTGTCAGTCTGACTTTAATGGGTATGAGACGGATCTGTTTATATCCCCATGCTATTCCCCTCCCCTTCGCTCCACTGGAGGTACCTGCTCCTCATGAAGATAGCTAGTGCATAGGGGAACAAGTGTCATCTACAAGTTGGGCATCAGTTGATCGACGGCACAAGACCCATCCAAAATCAATCCAATCCTTTAAACCCGCTATCCACTTTAAAATTACAAAATTTTAGGCCCAAAATGTGCTTATTGAAGTCGGTGCATTTCCATTGCCCTTTTCAGCTCAATAGCATCCTCCTCATTTTACCTTTATCATAGTTAACAGTCTAAAGACACCAATAATCACCTACTCCTGCGTACAATTAACGAGCCATCAAAATCACCTCGACTTTTGGTAACTCTCCTACTCGAACCCTTCACACTGGTCACTAATACTGCAGGATTACATCATAAAGTTTATTTTGGAGCGTCTACCAAGTAAAACTGCTCACAATTTTACAGATCCATGCAAAACTATGGAGGAGTCGATACCTCATTGCCTGAAAATGGGCCGAAGAGGCTCAGACAGCAGCTAAAAGTGCTCTGGCAGGTAGCTGCCAAGAAGGTAAAATAACCAAAAAAATCTACTCTTCACTCAAGGTATTGACGGGTTTTATACAATTTTATCGAAAAATAAGACAGGCAATTTACTAAAGGATGGTCTTTTCAAATACAGACGAGAAGCGGTAGGTTTACAGCGTTAACTTTAAGGCCGTGGCATTCGAACATCTTTGTTAGAACATTGGTGAAAGAGTTCCGTGAATTTTAAGCTTAACTCATTCTCAAACAGATACCGCAAAGTAATATTGCCTTTCTATGCTAAGGAACTTATAATTTTGACAAATCGTCCAAATTTTTGAACCGGTGCCGCACTACACCACCGTCTTATGATGGTCCAGCCCCCAGAATATTAGTTCTGAATTGATGGTTTTGTCTCTGCAGTAGCAAACAAACTCAAAGCAGCCTTATTTTGAAGTAATTCAAAAGCATTTTGCAAAGCAAAGTTATAAGATCCCTCTAAATGCTTACGACATCAATGAACTAAAACAGGATTTGAAAAAACTTCGTCTTAGAAAGATCGCCAAAGTCCCGACAACCTCTACTCCGTTAAATTATGTGATTTCTACCTCTCTGATCTCTGAACCCCTTCTCTCTTTTTTTCACAGGAGGTGGCTTACTGTCTGGTCATGACTGAGGGGCACAAAAAACAAGGGAAAGGATGTGGGTAGGAGACTGTCTTCAACGATCCTTGAGATTTGTCTTCACACTCGTCAGCACGGCGTACGAGTTAATTTGCCACGTTCTCCATATGTATGACAGGTGTCACTGCTAGATCTGGTTTTGAGAACAAAGTCTTGATTACATCTTATTTCAGGGTATTTCCAACCGCATGTTTTCGGCACTCGTAATCTAAGCTTTGTAGCACGGCAGATGCAAGTCCAAGTACAGATGTAGATCGCAATCGATGCGGTATTGTTGCCCTTTCAAAGGTTTGCCTTTAGGTTATTTGGAAATTGGGGAAAAGAAGATGATACTTTGACGGAATGCGAGATCATACAAGCAATCGCAGAACCCCAATACCCCAATACTTCTAATCACTAATCACATCCTCAAAAAGCGTACTTGGGATTGCGTTTCATGAAAACTAGCAGCTATTTCAAAAAGCAAAGGTCAGAAAAATAGTAAAGATTTTAAGCACGGTGCCATTAGTTTGGGGTTATATAGAGTTCCTAGACATCCCATTAGGCAATGAAAGGCATAGAACTTGGCTAAATGCTTGTACCCAAAATAGAAGGCAAGAGGTGGGCATAGGCGAGGCTCGGAAGCCAGCTTATCCTTTGGAAGCATGATGGCTGTTAAGAGTAATCACCTCTCGTACGAGCAGTCGAATACAAACGGTGTATCAGGGTGAACAAAATAGTAATTATTAATGCGGCACTCCAAGCGACTCCCAAGTTCATAAGGCTGTATCTGTAACCTAGCGAGACTTCTCGTTTGGCAGAAGGTATTGAGCAGGACTGAATATATGTATTCAAGAAGGGAGGTGAGATTTGGCTTTGGCGTGTCATAAAGGCCAGCCTACAAGCCCAATGGCAAGATTAATTTCAAGGCACCAGCCAGTCACACAGATATTCGAATAAACAAGGCATTGCTAAAATAAGTTGTATAATGTGACCATCTGATGTTTGGTGGTCACTGTGGCATTCGTTTTGGCCCCTTGTACACATGGGCTGGCCTTTGGGCGAGACCAGAGCCCTATCCCTTTGCTTCTTTAAATACATGAATCTGTCCAACGTAATGCCTTCTTCCACCTGGGGAAGTCTCGTGGTGCCACAATTACATTATCCCACTGCAGTGGGTATAAAGTGCGAGGAATTATTGCGTTAGTAATTACTTAGAAAAGCTAATAAGTTGCGAAATCCCATAATCTGTGTAATATATGCTGGTGATCAAGTTGACCTTTATAAGAGGGAGTCGGGAACCAATTTTGAACGCGAATCCCGTACGTGAGGACCGTGAGGAAACCCTTTCTGGGTGATATCTGCTATCTGGCTCATCTGTACCCCTATCCCCGTTCTCCCTGTAATGAATGCCTAATAACTCTACTGCATCTAACCCTCTCTTAAAGTCCGTGGTTCAAGAGCATGAGTGTATGCAGGCAGTTACTACAATCTGCACCTCATTTACATATTTGACTCAGGCAAAGTCAAGTCAAAAGGAGACCGGATAAAGTTTACAGAAGCATCCTAGAGCTCCCCATCGAAGGCTAACCCAGGGTATAATGGCCAGAATAATCTTAAGACGACCGATAGACACTAGGTAGTCACACGAACACTGGCCGTACATAGTGTAAGATTGAACTTTTAATAGCACTCCTAACTTACTGCCATCATAATTGGCAATTTGTCCAGTAGCAAGGTTATCAAAGAATTTGATGAGATTATTGGTTTGTGCAGCTTACATATGTAAAAATTTTTACAAATGCCAAGCCTTTGTATTATTATTTTTATGTTCAGGCTCACTCCTAATCTATTTGCATGTTTCTTAATCTAATTATCATGGAACGCGCTTTTCTCAAATATACTCCTCTGGTGACATTTATAGGATTGCTTACCGGTCGGGTCCTCTGGTGTAGTAGTCAAAAATCTGGATCGAGCAAATTTGGAATCGTCGTATGATTTAATGGATGTATCGGACAGCATGACTGATTCCACCTTTACGGTAGATGTTCGTGCTCGTCGACGAAAACTTCATACTGAAGCTGAGCAGCGCCGTCGAGATGCTATCAAGGTTTGATATTCTGGACAGTTTCACTGCTTTTAGCGAGGTTTCGACAGCTTGTTGGAACTTATTCCTCCTACCAAAGCAGGTCCTGCAAATTCTCACTTTAGAATGAGCAAAGCCACCGTTCTTAACCGATGTATTATCTCTTCAAGTTACACTATTCCTTCTAGCTATTTCCATGATCTTAAAAGCATCGCGAATTCAAACTCAAAAACGACTCGAAATTGAAACTCTCCGGAAGAAGGTTCAGGCACTTCAGATTCTCAAGGCGTAAGTTTCAGAAATTGGCGTGTTAATAAATCATTTTTGTAGGAGTTATGAGCGTATGTCTACCACCACAACCTACGCAACCGAAACTCATGACCCCATAATTACGGACCAGTACAAATTGCAACTTTTCCAGATGTTCTTGGACAGTCTTTTTACTACCTTTGACTGCACTGTTTCTGCATCGTCTCTGCCAGAACTCTCAGATCAGATTATAACGTGGCTGGAGACCAACTGCAAACCAGAGGTATTTTCTATTGTGCAGTGGCTTTTGACAAAACTGCGATATCCTGCATAATAGGCATTTTGGACTTTAGTTGTTACATCAAATCATGGGGCATTTATTGGATTCAGCGTATCACGAAACTCACAATTTTGTGTATCTTCAACGGCCGGCGGCTCAGCAGCGTCAACCACAGAGCACAATATACGAGGCGCACAAAGTGTCAGAATGTCTGGGCCAGCGCATACCAACACAGCTCATTCCCAGCACATATCGTAGCCCCTCACTGAAGCTCTCTAATAGCTTGGAGGCCGTTCACGAGTCTCCCTTCTCTGTGTCAGACTCTATTCCCTCGGATCAAGGAGTGATGCATCCGCCTGATCAGTTTCAACAACCTAACCGTCATCAGTCTGTCTTTAGCACTGGCTTTGATCCACATTCCATCTATTCTGAACCGCCCCAACAGACCTATGTACGCTCTCAGCATCCTTCTGTATTTCCGGTGCGCCGTTACCAACCGTCCGAAGATACTAGTCTTTCCAATACGTTCTCTAACACCTCTACTATTCCCACTACCCAGCGTCATTCCTCTCCTTCGCCATCCAACGCAGCAACATCTTCGGTCTTTCAGCGGTCTCCAGCCGCTAGCACTAGTGCCATAGCAAGAAATCTGGTAGTGGACAGCACGCTGCCTACGCCTCAATTCCCTCCTGCTCCTCTTTTTGTGTCTCCGAATGGCTTTGTGCCACCCCATATCCAATACGCTGGCAGTGGTAGAAGCTGTATGCCGTTACCAAACGAAACCTTTGCTAAGCAGAGTCCCTTCTAAGCCGTCATCAATGCCTCATTCTTCCATGACCAACGATTTCTTTCTTTTTGCTCTTCATATTCTTATCCTAAGAGAAAGAATGCCTGATCTATTCCCTCCTCTACCTTTTCAGATCTCTATTTATCGCATAAACTTGGCTGATTTCTTTAAATTCTCATTTCTGTATACATAGTTACACACTGGTAGGCGATAATATGATTGGCTGTTAATTTTACATTTTGTACAAATCCTTGTTTTACTTATTTATGCCTTTATTTCTCTCCCCTCCCTCCCCTCCAACAAGAAGGGCTGATGTTGAACTGACCTTCGAACCGCGTTTAGGAGTCTCAGGCGGCGTTTGCACCTAATTTTGGCTGCACGTTCTTTAATTGATCCAACTCCTTACTCATTCAGTAGGTTAGAAAGGTGAATTCGGTTGAGGTATCTTTCCTGTGAATTAATGAGGAGACTCAACTAACTTCTCACCATGGCCTTACCTCTTGAGGTGGGATGATCATTTGTGTCGTTTTGTTCATGAGCTACTCCGGTCTCGACATCCTGACGGGTCAAAGTTAAATAGCTGAAGGATAAAGAAGGGTATCATCCCACTGGTTTCATTTAATCTGTTTTCCGTTTAATGCAACTTATTAATTATCACTTATTAATGTCACTGACAGAAACTAATCTCGGGATGCTGTTGTCAGAGGAGGTTTTATCCAACTGCTCTGTGGATAACGACGCTGAGTGAATTAGGATTATTCATTTATCTAAGCCCTGGATACTCACTCATTTTGGGCATCCATCTCATGCATCTGTTTCTGGTTTCATCAGCCTTTTTGCTTGATAACATGAATACATTAATGACAGTTCTTATGGGTAGTGGGTACGCCCCCCATACACAACTCTTTCCTTTCTTGAGGTCATTTATAGAGGGTGACGCTTTCTCCTAGTCTAACTTCGATCTCGATTCCGACTGCAATGACGAGCTGCAAGTTGCGACGGATTCGTCAACAAAGTCGACTGCGTGGAGAGACACCTTTCTGTTATTGGCTAACGGCGGTGAATTTCGAAGCATGTGGCTCTTCTGTTCAGCATCGATGTGCGGCGTTGTGGTAACTGGTGAAGTTGAATGATAAAAAGCTATTTCAGGCCCCTCCCCTTCCTTATTGACTGTTGAAGGTCTTCAAAGCCCACGTAACTTAGCATGGAGCCATGCGATTGTTGAAGCGTTGGTATGCAGGTCAGCGAGCACCGTGTTTTAGAGCGCTGAGACTCAGGGGAGTCAGGTAGGCTGAAACCCCATCACATCGCACTGTTTCTGTATATCTCATCTGTTGCGCCAAGATACGTTATCATTGATACGAAAGTACTGTTTACACTAACTTGGTGCAGAAAAATAAACACATTGAACTAGGCACCAAGTGTTATCGATGTAAAGATGAAAAGGTGTTAGCTGATCAAAAGTCCGTCTTTGATTGTAACAGTTGGTGGTGTTTTCAAATGGCTCTGTGATTTTGACAGTGAACTCACGCTTGCATTAATTAAGTTCTGTTTGTAGCAAAGCGACGACTGACGTCCTCACAGATTTGACTTGTTCATTGGTTCATTTTCCATCGCCCAGTTGGGCCTGGTGACATCATTGTCGTGGCGGTTGATTCATCTACCTCTATCAACAGCACATATGTTTGCTATAAGTGGAATAGATGAAGGGAAAATCAGACGTTTCACTGCAGACTTATCTATGAATAGCGAAAGTAGTTGATTAAAATGATAAAGGCGATTAAGCCTCTCATGAGAGTCAGAATGACTATTGTCAATGAAGTAATGACAACTTCGTAAAGTTTTTTGTTTGAAAGTCACTCGGCATTCTTCTTATTCTCATTTGCGGACCCGAAGATTACTCACACATCATTCTAATCTTGACTGACAAGTATCCCGTGAACTACAAAGCACTTCTTTATGCTTTGCTAGTCAAGTCTCCGGCATATATTTTTTAATTGACAGTGACACCCAGTCAGTCAAACCTCACTAAGTTAAGTGGTGGAATGAGGAATTCACTTTGCACCCGGTTGCATAATTACATAAAGAAGTGTTGCCTTGGTCAGTGGAGTTAAGAAAGTGTGGTGGAAAATGGAGACGGTGAATTGGACAATCACTGTTCTTCAAGAAAGTAGAGATGCGGCAAAGTTTGCATCCCTTCATTAATCACCTCTTCAGGGTTGTCGTATGAGGGCTTACTCGGACTACCTTCACCCACCCGCAACTGATCCTGACCTCACACATTTAAATTGCGTGTCAATAGAAAAATCGACACTGTGGGATGGAGCTCTAACGAAACAGTCGATGTCCTCCACGCTGGTGCTGTTGCAAGTGCGATGCCTACTGGTGTGCCTGATTTGGGGAATTGCAATGCAGATAGAGTGAGTGGCTCCTTTTGTTTGGTCTTTGATACACTCACCCTCTCATTCCTGTGCAAATTGCCTCAGGCGTAAAGGAATATCTAAAGGTACCTGAAGCGTTGACTGAATTTCGGCTGTCTCTGA